GGGCAATGACATCAGCCAGTCCCCTCAGGACTGTGGGATGCATCTCATCAGGTCCCATAGACTTACGTATGTTCAGGTTCTTCAGGTAGTCCTGAACCTGGTCTTGCCTTACAGTGAGAGGGACTTTGCTCCTCTGGTCCCCATCTGGCAGGCCATCAACTGGGGAGGGGCGAGGAGAGAGGTTGCCAGTGAAAACTGAGGCAGAAAAGTTGAGTACCTTGGCCTTTTCATCTGTTGATACAAGGTTGCCATTCTTGCTCATTGAGCGGGGTAGACTTTCTATAACATTCCTCTTCTGGCTGAGGGACTGCCCTCCAGCCTCTCCAACCTCAGTCTGTACATATGCTCAGGATTACCCTGTCCCAGGTGGAGAATCCAGCACTTGCTCATTTTACATTTCATACAGCTGGTGATTGCCCAGCACTCTAGTCTATCCAGATCTCTCTGTAAGGTTTCTCTACCCTTGAGACAGTCCACAGCTCCTCCTAGTTTGGTACCACTGGCAAACTTACTCAATGTACATTTGATTCCCACATCCAGATCATTTATAAAAACATTCAAGGGCACTGGCCCTAAGATTGAGCCCTAGGGAACCTCACTAGTGACTGGCCTCCAGTCTGATGTAACACCATTTAGTGTAACACTTTGAGCCTGGCTCGTCAGCCAGTTGCTCACCCAACGCGTTATGGGCTTGTCTAGCTCTGTGCTGGACATTTTGTCCAGAAGGATCCTGTGAGAGATGGTATAAAAAGTATTGCTAAAATCCAAACCCACCACATCTACTGGCTTCCCTTGGTCAACTAGATGGCTGACCTTGTCATAACAGGAAATGAAGTTGGTTAAGCAGGACTCCCCCCTCACGAACCCACACTGGCTATGACCAATGGCTGCATTGTCTCTCAAGTGTTTTTCAGTAACTCCCAGAATAAACTTCTCCATAATTTTACCAGTCACTGAAGTGAGACTGACAGGCGTGTAATTACCAGGGTCTTCCTTCTTACCCTTCCTGAAAATTGAGATAACATTTGCTGACTGGGACCTCTCCAGATTCCCAAGACCATTGAAAAATAATGGAGAAGGGTCCGCAATAACATCGGCCAGCTCTTTTAGTACTCTGGGATGAATCCCACTGGGGCGCAGAGACTTAGTGCCTCCAGCTGGAACAGCAAGTCGCAAACAAGTTCAGAGTTAGCTGGGAGTTTATCATCCCCCTATTCACAGTCTTCTAACACAGGGCTCCAGGGTTCCCAGGGCCATTCATCAGTGTTAAAGACAGAGGTGAAAAAGGCTTTGAATATCTTTGCTTCAACTACATTCCTATTTGTGAGGAACCCTTTTAGTTGTCGTTCACAGTACTGGCCAGCCTGAACTCAAATCAAGTTTTGGCTGCATGAATTTTCTCCCTACAGCAGCAAACAGCATCTCTGTAGTCTGCCTCTGTTGCCTGTGCTTCCTTCCAGTCATAGAATGGTTTGAGTTGGAAGGGACCTTAAGGATCATCTAGTTCCACCCCTCTTGCCATGGGTGGGGGAAACCCTCCACTAGAATAGGTTGCTCAAAGCCCCATCCAATGTGGCCTTGAAGACTTCCAGGGAGGGGGTATCCACAACTTCTCTGGACAACTTGTTCCAGTGCCTCATCAGCCTCATAGTAAAGAATTTCTTTGTTATATCTAATAAAAATCTACCCTCTTTTAGTTTAAACCCATTACCCCTTGTCCTATTGCAACAGACCCTGCTAAAATGTTTATCCCCATCTTTCTTATAAGCCCCCTTCAGGTACTGGAAGGCTGCCATAAGGTCTTCCGGCAGCCTTCTCTTCTCCAGGCTGAACAACCCGAACTCTTACCTTTCCTCATAGGAGAGGTGTTCCATCCCTCTGATCATTTTTGTGGCCCTCCTCTGGACCTGCTCCAACAGGTCCATGTTGTGCCTGTGCTGATGGCTCTGGTTTCCTGTGCTGAGGTCTCCAACGTCCATATGCTCTCCATTTCCTCTTAAGTTCTAGAAGAAGATCCCTGCTCAGCCAGGCAGGTCTGCTGCCCTTCTTGCTTGACTTCTAACACATTGGAATTGCCTGCTCCTGAGCTCCTAAGAGAAGGCTTTTAAAAAATGGCCAGCATTCATGGACCGCAGTACCTTCAGTGTTATCAGTTTGCCTTCTGAAATGGCTGTTACAGTTCCAGCTTTTCTTAAATCATGTCGAGATTTGCTCTTGTATAATATTTTTAAGACCAGTGTCTCTACAAACTAAATATACAATAATGTAGTAAACTTGAGTTATAATCATGTTTGATTCTGGGGTTGAATCACACTTAAAATACAGTTGTTTTTTTTTCATTATGCAGTGTTTACAGCAGGTAATAGTTCACACTTGCTAGTACCTGAAATTGAATACATGAGGTTGAAAAGCCAGAGGATACTAGTATTTGGTGTTAGTTGCATGCATTGTCTTGTACTTGATCCTTAAGTGTCTAGGCTTGGAAGCCATTGCTGTAACTTGGTTTCTGCATCTTCAGCCCAGTTCACTTAACTGATTTTTTCGTCATCTTTTTTTCACTGTTAGAATGAAAATAGACTTAAGTTCTTTCGGCTTGCTGCTGCGAAACATCAGCATTTGTATCGTCTTGCCATGACTGGTGCTGGCATCGACCGCCATCTGTTCTGCCTTTATGTTGTGTCCAAGTACCTTGCTGTAGATTCTCCTTTCCTTAAGGAAGTAAGTGACTGTTATTGATACCTATGAATTACAGTAAATAATCCTTTGTTTACTTAGTGTTTTGTGGTATCTGCTTACGTACTTGTAGAACTCTGGTTTTCCGAAGAAAAAGGTAAAGAGTTTAGCTAGCATTGCTTAACATCTTCTGGTAGATTACAAGTTAGTTTAATTTTGCTTTATGTATAAACTTACTAATAGACCTATAGTAATGCTGTGAGCTTTGTAGTATAATACACATTATTAAGGATTGAAAGAAAGATATAGTCATTATAATAGTTGGCTGTGGTTTTACGTATTTTCAAGGCAGCACAACAGAGGCTGTGTGTTTTCTCTCAAGAATGTTCTTTTGGAACTTTCTTTTAATTAAGTTACTGTGAGTTAAAGAAGCTGTGTATTGCGATGTGTTTTTTTTTTAATGCACGACATTATTGTCACTGGTTTACTGTGACAAATGCTTTAATACTTAACTAGTTGGGTTTTATAAAAGTGATTGCATGGTTTTCTGATTAATTAAAAAATGTGTCTTAGCTTGCCTCCAAATTCAACTACTCACATTTGTCTTCTTGCCATCCTAAATGTGAATAGTGGCGAAGTCAAGAATAAAACAACTTTCTACAGCTTCTGCAGACTTTCAAGATATGTGTGTATTGTTAGAGATTTTACAAGCTTGTAACTTGATGCAGTATCTTACTGGGATTTGAATACGACAATTCATGATCATCTTGTTGTTAACAAGACCTGTTATGCAGAATCTACCAGGCTATAGACCAGATTAATCTGTTTTGAAACAGCATTTCTATTAAAAGAACTTTTTATTTGCTGTGAGGAATTGACATTATGACCTCATATGTTAACGGTTTGCATATCAGGACAAGTTTAACTATTTCATTTAACCTTCTTAATTGTTCATTCTGTTGAAATGGGAACTGGAGTTATCCTTAATATTGCTTTATGGAGTGCTTTCTAACTTGTCTAGTTTTTGAGAAAGTCACATGTGCTAAAACATGCAGTGTGTTATACTTGTTTGCATCTCTCTCATATCTAATAAAGGTTTTGTCAGAGCCTTGGAGGCTGTCAACGAGTCAGACACCACAGCAACACATTGACCTGAAGAAGAACCCTGAGATGTTATCCTGTGGTGGAGGATTTGGACCAGTATGTTTGCTAAATAAAACTACCCCTTTAAATACAATTTTATTTTGAATATTACAGTCTGAATAATTTCAGATCTGTAATACCTTAATGCTGCACATCAAAAGTGCAACACATACTTTTAAATGTGTGTGTTTAGTGCTTTCTCATGAAGTGAATGTGCTCAGGAAAGTCTGCATCACCTTTTTCTCATATCCCACTACAAGAATGGATTATTCTTAAGGAAATACACAGTTATCAAATGTGATACAAGACTCCATGGCAGAGAGCTCTGATAAAGTAGGGGCTTTGGTCACATTATCTATGCCCAGAACTTCAGTACATTGGGCTATGTGACAAATGTGTTATTACTTAAACTAGATTTTAGGGTTGGTATTTATAAAAGTAATTATACTTGACTTATTCTTTATATTTCCTGATTAATTAAAAAATGTGTTCATCCTTTCCTCCAAATTAAGCTTCTCGCATTGCTCTTCTTTCCCTCCAAAGTGCGAGCAGTGGAGAAGTCAAGAATGAAACCACGTTCTACAGCTTCTGTAGACTTTCATGAAACGAGTGTATTGTTAGAGATGTTAGAAGCTTTTGATTTGCTGTAGTATTTTACCGGGATTTGAACATGGCTATTGATGATGGTGGTGTTGTTAATAAGATCTGTTAAGCAGACTTTATGGGGCTGTAGACTAGATTAATCTGTTTACAAAAAGCATTTCTATTGAAGGAACAATCAGAGGGATCACAGGACTGTTCTTTGCCACGCAGAAATTAGGATTACAAGTACAATGTATTTTGGCTGATTTGCCAAGCTGGAAGTTGGATTTTGTGGGGTTTTTTATTTATTTATTCGTGTTTCTGATGCGACTTTCAGTAGTTCTTACAGGTGGAATGAGTTTAAATTACAGTATCAAGGAAGCCTATTTATTGCAATGCTTCTCATTCATGAGTAACTGGCTTGCTCCAACAGATTATAAAGCCCACATGTAGAATCCCAAAAAGGTGTGGTCTGGCAATTATAACACTTTTTCCTTTTGTTTTTGCTAATGCTATGTTAACTGCTCCCTTCTTACTATTTCTTCGTTCCTTTTAATTTCCTTCCTTCAGTTGTCTGTTTTTCTAAATAACTCTGCGTACATTTCCCTTCCTCATTTTTTTGTATCCTTACAAAAACTGTACTTTGGTTTGCTGAAGTAGCCCAGAGATTCAGTACATCAGGCTTTCCATGTGTGTGTGATGTGTGTTGGTTTGGTTTGGTTTGGTTTGTTTTTCCTAAGCGTTCTGTAGATTATAGCCCTGTAGTGCTAATGGAGGGAAGACTATCAGTGTCCTTAGCAGCAGTGACAGCAAAGAGCTTGAAGGTTTGAGTGAGGAAGGAGGGTGGCAGCAGCATAGTCTGTCTTTACTAGTCATACTTTATATGAAACATCAGACTAAAAATTGTGACAGTTAATGGTGCTAATGTTGAAATCAGACCAGGGCTTTGCTAATGACATAGGTGTACAGAATCATACCATTGCTGTAGAGTCGGATGACTTTGCCTTTGGGCAAGTTTTCATAATACGGGGCTCTTGTATACTCCATATTTATATACTGTATTTGTTTACATCTGCAGAGTAATCCCATGAAACAGGATATTTAAGTATACAATTGAACTGTTTTATTCCTTTCTACTTAAGCACTGAAGCTGTGTAGCTGTTTAGGACCAGACCTTGATACAAGAAGGTCTTTGAACAAGTATTCTATTTCAAAATACTAAAGCTGGGAAATATTACAGACGTATTCAGAAAATGTTAATTCCATGCACTTGAGATGAGACTAGAACTGTTTCCTTAAGTGGAATTAATCTTTAGAAAAGATACATTAAATATGAAAACTTAATTTTTGTTTGAGGAGAAACTGTAACTGATTTTAAAAACTGCACTAAAAGAATTGTGTAATTATGTGTAAGATAATTTAGGAATGGAAGGAAAAAAAAAGCTTATAACTTGTTTCTCTCTTCTTTCTTCCCCTAGGTTGCTGATGATGGTTATGGTGTTTCTTATATTATCTTGGGTGAAAATTCCATCCATTTCCATGTCTCCAGCAAAATATCTTGTTCTGAGACGGTAAGGGTTAGTCCCTTCCTATGGTTTAATAAATCTGATCAGGTGCCTGCTTATAAAGTGGTTCTACTCATCATCTAAAACAGTTTAGTAGGACTTCCAACATACAGTTATAATGTGTGTTTTTTTTCTCAACATAGGCTGTTTTGTTGGAGGATTTTATGTCTCCACTTCTGTAAATTTAATAGCTTTATGAAGCAAGGAAACCATATTCTATTTCACTTAAGCTTTCAAGCACAAAGAAAGCACATAGCCCAAGGTCCTCTCTACACATGTAGTTTCCTGGAACTCAGGTAAAATGACTCGTATCAGTCTGATAAACAGTAAGAGATTTTTCTTGGTTTTTGTTATTTCAGTTCTGCTTTGATTTGTCTATGGCTGCAGTTGTAAAGACAGAGTAAAATGTATGCTCCCTATCCTTCAAATCTTCTTTGTTTAAATAACACTGAAAGAAACTGACCTGTAAGTTATAATCTGTGCTTGAGAAACATAATTAACCAAAAATTTATTAGAGTAACACCCATTATTAGAATGTAGTAGATGTCATCTATTTAATATCCTGCTGTTGCAAGGGCCTGCTTTGAGTGAGTTTCAATTAATGGTTAGATTTTTTAGACTTTCATTTAGATTTTTGACTTCAATAAAAATGCTAAGTTTGTTCAGGATTACATAGCTGAACTAGTTTTCCTCTTTGACCTTAGCATGTCCACGAGAACTTGGTGCAAGATTAGAAAATACAACTTTGTTTTTTCGTAGTTGAAATTGTTCTTCACATGCTTGTTAGCTTGTACTTTAAATTTCCCTGTATTTTTTACTTACTAGTCAAGTCAAAGTTCCATCAGAAAAGGTAGGATTTCACGTGCGTGGCCTTGGTATTAGTAGGGTCTTTGTAGTAGGTCCTGTAATGAACCTAATAATTTATATTTGTAATCTTAATTTCTGCCTTGTACCATTCATCTGACACTTAGAATAAACAGAACAAGTTCATAGTTTATTTACACCTAGACAATTGTGATTTGCATTTTAAATACTTTATGTAATTTTTCAATTGCAAACAATTCAGGATTGATAGGAACTCAAAGACAAAATGTTTTTCTGCACTTTCAGTACTTCTAGGTCATTAGTCATACACTTTCTGACATTCTTTTGTTTTCTGAATATTAGCTTTCACAAAATCTTGTATAAAAATCCCAATACTGAAACCCAGCTATTTTAAAGTAACAGAAAGCTATAGATGCATCTGACTTCAAAAGGAGAAGATCTCAGTTCGTGTCTGTATGAAAGTAAATGCATAATGAAGAACTCATTAGTCAGTAATAGCATAAACCAGGATTAATTTGTATAGTATTAAAATTTTTGTGGTTTAAATTCCCTGCTTAATGGTAAAATATGTGCCTTAATTCTGTAAGCTGCAAAATTATAAAATGTTAAAAGGTTCCTTTTTTTGCCTAAAAGATAACTGTTGATTGACAGTACAAGTCTTTGGTTTTATTTTTTTTGTTTGTTTTTAAAGGATTCTCATCGTTTTGGAAAAAACATCCAAAAAGCAATGGTTGACATCATGGGGTTATTTAACCTCATTAAAAACTGTACCAAGTGATTTGCCTTATTGGTGCCTAGTAATCTCCTGTTGTTGGGATGAGAACTCTTCTGGACAGTGAATGAGAGCAAGATTTGTCAAACAGTAGCTGGTGAAGAAACTGAGTTAGCATCATCTTGATCACCTACGAAAGCCTTAGCAGTATATTGAATGTTTCATTATTTTTTTTTCAGTAGTTTGGAAAGTTTGTTTCCACAAAGGATGACTTTTGAAATCTTGTATGTGTCTAAGAATGAAGTATAGCATCATTGCATGAAGCCATGTGTATTCTAACTCCTGCAGTTTCCTCTTAATTTGTGTATGTTTGCGCTTTTTAGAATTAAAATTAGTGTATTTGTATTCCAGAATCAAAATGATAAAACACACTATCTTAAACTCAAATACTAGAAAAAGTTTGATTTGCGATGTATTGATAGCAGAATGTTCCTCAATGTATCTGCTGCTTTATGTCAATGAATGACAAAACTTGTGGCTGTTTACCTTCATTGGTTTTAGGGTTTTTTTTAAAGGTAGATTCTGTAAAAACATACAAAAGAAATCTCTGATATAACCCACCATAACATACCAAGCTGCAGAAATTTTGGGGGTTTGGGGAAAAAAAAACACAGTGGGTAGTGCTACGTTGGTAGTAAAATGTTTCATCTAATTATCAGATACCACATTTTTCATATTACTTACAAGCATTTTTGCCACATCATTTTATTTCCACATAAATAAATATACCTGCATGCTTGTTCATGCAAGTGCCATAGGAAAAGTAAGAAAAAGGATAAAAGCTTATGCTGGGAGTTGGTTTTACATTGTCTTATTGGTGAAGGAGATGAAGCATTAGTAACGCAGATCTGCGTTTCACATTGTAAGTTAGGTTGGTGTGGCATGAGTAGACTTGAGTATGTTGCCATATGGTGCAGTTAGGTTTAAAGCTCTAATGAAATGGTCCCTTCTTAAATGGCAAAGATCAGTCCCTGGGAAATGCAGGAGTAACTTTGTTTCAGAGCTACAGATACTCCTGTTTATTTTGGTGAATGGTATTGATAGTCATTTGGGATAAGAGGTTCTGGATCCTAGGGAATGTCAGTGTAGTTAAATGTAACCTGTTGGACAGTCTACAAAGGAAGGCTGCCTGTAGAAGCTGCTTTCAGCCTGGAAGGACCACTACTCCATTGCCAACCATCTGCGTGAGAAGGGCAAACTATTAAAACTGTGGATAATAGCTCCAGAATGGGAAAATCCTGGGCTTCTCAGACCCCTCCTGGGAGATGCTCTTGGTCAAGCACAGTTTCTGAAGGATACAAGGAGGGAGGGGAAAGCTCTTTCACTCAAAAAGGAGGATAGGATTTCCAAGTGCAGAAAGAAAATGGCTGCTACAAAATGGAGTAACATTGTGCGCAATACTTCTCTAGGCTTTATAGGTGTGGTTACTTTTTACATCCTGCAGTGCAGTAAAGCATACCTCTTGCCACAACAATTTATTTTTAATTTTTTTTAAATGCAAGCTACATGGTATTAAGTAATACAGTGAATACTGCTCCAGAGCTGATTTTAAAAGGCCTTTGGGGTTGATAAAAAACTTCTTAGACTTTGAATGTTTTCTGTACCATATTTCTAACTTTCTGTGCCTCTTCATGTTTGTTTGGTTTTTTTCTCTGATCTAGCTCTTAAAACACCTGTATGTGTATGTTTGAGGTAGGAAGTCTCAAAGATCCCAGATGCATACTTAAGCAAATGCATGCTTACATAAATGTAGGAACCCTCACAGGAACTGGCCAAAGACATTCATTATGTGATTAGGTACAGTGTGTGGGAAAGCACACTTTGAAATAAGCCTTACTGCGGCTGGCAGGCCTGGCATTTATCAAACTACTACAATAATTTTATAGTGATGTATTATTTTGGAGTTGAAGAAATAATGCACTGTTTGTTTGTTTGTTTTTTACTGACCACTGAACAGTCTGTGCTTAAATTAACATTGGGGCATATTCGCTTGTAGGATTTTCTTTAAAAATAGGAAAAAAAATTAGATTTGACTCTCAGGTTTTAAGTGTTTCAAGTCTAATTGTAGTTACTGAGTTATCAATGCAATTTTACATTCTTAAAGTATAATTGGCACAGAAAGCTGTTTTTTATTGTAAATGTTTTAAACATTTTGTGGTGTTAAGTGTATCTTTTAAATTTGGGATAGATCATAATTTCTAAACAGATAAGATTTTATTTCATTTTCTTTAAAATATCAACAGCATGTAAATAAAATATGCTTTTGGATGTAAATCTTAGAAATTCACAGTGTGTAGGTTATTAATAAATAACTAATTTAAATCTTGATGTTCAATATTATGTGCATACGTTAAACAGCTTGCTTTTTTGCTCAAAAGCCATAGGAATGTAACATTACCTAGATTTGGATGAACCTTCTAGTACAGTGTACTTTATAAAGTAAAATGTTCATATTCCAGAAAAACTATTAATTTGTTACTAAAACCTTGAATCACTTGTCAATTAGTGATCTAACAGCTCGAAATTAGGGTTGAGTAGGTGGTAAGAGTCAGGTTGGATAATAAATTGACCTGTTTATTAAATAGCAGGATGGAATTGGTGGAATAACTCGAAAGTGTGTTTTCCAAATTTCTTATTTCAGCTGTTTCGTGCCAGAAATTAGGAGAACATTAAGTGCATTTAGAGGCTACCATTGTACAGGATTAAAATTATTCCAAACTAAATATTCTTTTAAGGGTTGGATTTTTTGAGGGACTAATGAAGCGTGTGCCCGACCCTGAAAATCATGTTTCTAATTAGCCTTTGTACGAATTGTTTTCTCATACAAAATATATTAGTTTAAGCTAGATGTTGGGTTTTTTTATCTTGTTCAATTACTCTGCATCTATGGTAGGTTACTTACATCCAGCGCTTTGTCTCTTATTTTCTACCCTCTTCTGTGACTTCAGAAAATAAAGTTTCACAATTACCACTACTTACTACAATGTTTAATATCTTTTGTATCTTCTTCACAGCTCCCTTGCTGCTGTTTCTGGACTTGTGAAATCATTGCTATTAAATCCAGTTACGAATGGTAGTAGCAGACTATTCAGTTTATGTTAGCAGTGATTTATAAGTCTTGCTAATTAATAGGGAATGTGTTAATGAACAATTTTTCAGGTTCAGTGGAAAGAAGAAACAACATTGGTATTACTTTAGATAAGCTTTTTGCATGAGATCCAAATAACTGTTGGAATGTTTCTGTGAAAGTGTCTGCAAGCTAGCAGAATAGCACTGGTTTAATCTTTACAGTCAGTAATCCATAGAATATGAATGGTAAGGCAGTGGAGAACTAGCTCAGGCACAGAAAGTTAACATTGTTAAAATGTCATTTGGTTTGTCTGAAGATTCCCAGTACCTGAAAACTCATTTGAAATTGCATTAAAACTGGGGACTACTTTGAGACAGTTGAAGAGGGTTGGTTTATTTTTTTTACCCTTTAAAGGTTCAGATACTAGTTTTTCAATTGCTGTTTAATAAAAAAAAAACCAAAACAAACCACCACCAAACAACAACACAAAAAACCCCAAACAAAACCCACCGAATAGTTTTGTGTGATAGACCATTTTCACGGTCGTTTAGCTTGCAGCTTTTTTGGATGTTGCAGCCTTCACTACATGAAAGAACAAAGATACCAATTTCACACTTCATCTCTTAGATACTGTTAATTCCTGAGTTGTATTTCAAAACTCTGAAACCGAGGCTGGATACTGAAGTTTTAAATTGATATGTTCAATATGAACAGAAATGCTGTATGGAAATTTTCTAGGCACAGAAAATACTGATTTATTTTTTGGTTTTTTTTTTCCCTTTTTCCCTTTTCCTGGTTTTAAGGGTGGGAAGTATAAGATGCATCTTATGCACAGAAAACGTTGCTGTAGTTATACACGATGCATGGGATTAATCAGCTCCAGCTGAGATTAATGAACTCCTGTTCGGAAGTACTAGGATAAAGAACTTAGCTATTAGATGAAACCTTTGAGAGGTGAGTAGAAAGCATAGGGTTTCCTTGTTTTGTTTTCTTCTGGTTTTCTCTAACTTTCAGGGCTGCCGACTTGGGCTGGTGGGGTGGAAGCTTGTATCTAAAAAAGGAAAAACTTATTCCAGTTTCTTCCTGGGTTAATTATATGGCACCTTATGGATGAAAGGTAGCTTGAAATTGGTTGGGTAGTTTTAGTTGCAGTTTTGTTTTTGTTTTGTTTTTTTTTTTAAACACAAAATTTCCTAAAAATGAAGACAGTAATACATAAAATCAAAAGTTCAAGTTCAATTTCTGCTTTCACGGAAACCATATTTTGTCTTAAAGGGCCATAGGTAGTGGCCTAGTAGGTTTGGAGTGTTTTCTAAATTCTGAAATCTTTAAGGCACCAGGGTGACCATTCCAGAATTTACACAGGGAGTTGTAGAAAGGGCTTTAAGAGCAGAATGGTTGAGGATGGAAGGGACCATGTCCAGATGGTTTTTGAGCATCTCCAAGGATGGAGACTCCACAACCTTCCTGGGCAACCTGTGCCAGTGCTTTGATGCCGTGAAAAGCTGGAGTGGAAGACTCAATAGTCAGCGGGCTATTAATCAGATATTCTTTGTTGTAGTGGGGATCTCTCCTCCAAACGTGTGCACCAAACATCCTGTCATTTCAGGTTAAATACAATCACAATATACATACTCATTATATTTCTGAGAAATGCTTAGCATATTAATGATTTTTCCAAGAACTAATCAGCATATGTTAATGTCTTTCACGCATATCTGTTAGCGTCCTCGGGTGGTCTTTGGGGGTCCTAAGATGAAGGCTTATACTCCTCACCACAGTGTCCGCTGGTTGACCTTTGTTTCTGTGCAAACTCAGTTCTAAGATGAGTTTACTGTGTCCTTCCAGGTTGTTTTGCTCTGGTCTCATTGCCCTCTTGGTGCCCCTTTATCTCTGTAGCTTGGTGCTTCTGCCTTCCCAAGGCTGAGCTGTCTGGGGTGAAATTATTTAGGAGCCTCTCTGTCTTGGAGCTTTCCTGTCTTCTCAAAACAGCAAGGATCTACTTTAATTTAATTACAATCACTCTGGTCAGTCGAAATTTTATATTAACGGGTGTCAGCTTGGTCACCTACACAGTGAGAAAGTGTTACCTGATGATCAGAGGGAACCTCCTGTGTTCCAGTTTATGCCCATTGCCTCTTGTCCCGTCACTGGGCACCAAAGAGCTCCTGGAAGTCCATCTTCTTTGCACCCTCCTTTCCAGTTTGTATTTCTAGGCTAAGCCTTTCCTCATAAGAGAGATGCTTTAGTCCCTTAATCATCTTCATGGTCCTTTGTCGGACCCTTACCAGTATGTCCATGTCTCTCTTGTACTGGGGAACCCAGGACTGGACACAGTACTAGAGCTGTGGCCTCACCAGTGCTGAGTAGCACTCTTCTACATGGTTTATAACAAATAACCTCTTACTCAGTACCAGAGTGCTGGTTAATCTTTGACTCCTTGTAATGCGAGGTAATTTCTCAAGGAAAATTATACTTTAAATACAACAGAAAAAAAAAAAAAATCCCCCAAACCACCCAGCCCAATTTGCACTGCTGCCTCTGCTGAGCACGAGACCCGCCTACGAGGCTGCCATGGGGGGCAGGGGTGGGGCCGGATGGAAGCCGTGCTCTGGCACATGCCTATCCTCTGTTCTGGCTTGCAGTCGTCACTCCTCACACACGGAAGGGCGGGTGCCGGCTATGGCAGAAGTTGAACTGCTTGGGGGAAGGGGCAGAGACACGGCTTCTTTTCAGGGCAGGGGTGGAGGTGGGTCCTGTCCCGTTCCCTTCTGCCCTGGAAACCGGAGTGGTGATATGGGGTCAGGGGAGAGGGCAGCCGGAGCGCCATGGGTGTCCTAGAGCTGGTCGTGGTTGTTGCATATGGGTCAGAGAAGCTTGAACCTGCAGAGGGCTGCTATATCCCAGTCTAGCCAGGGGGACACGGGTGGCTTGGCCCTCCCCATATTGTCTTAGTCTAAATCCAGATACAGTAGTGATGACAGTGAAGGTGGATCTTGGCCTATGTCTTTTTAATGGTGGCCTTGTGGTACTCTGGGTAGGGGTGCTTTGGCTTGCGTTGTCTATAACTGGCAATAGCGACATGGACAGTACAGATACTGTTTGGTCTTAATGTGGTACTTACTGACACATACTTAAAAACAGTGTCATTATAGCTGTCCAAGTGCACTATGTCAAATTTGATTGATTTTGTTTTGACTGCTGAAGTCAAGTGGCAAAATTCTGACTGAATGCTGTTAACGTGTTTAAAAGTTACAAAGAATGTGTTCTTATGGTAAAAGCATCTTGTTTGTGTTGGCATGGTGGCCGGTATTTTCTGAAAGCTAGATTCAGAATCCCAAGAACCTCTTCCAGCATTATGATTTTAAGTTTCACAGTTACATATTAATTGAGTTATTTGTCAGTATTATACATATGCGTTGTTTGGTTAAGACTATTTCGTTAGCTTCTAGAAAGAAAAAACTATTCAGAAGAATACCAAAACAGAAAATTTAATTATCTTCAATGAAAAAAATAAATACGAACCAGCTGACAGTCTGTCCATGACTATGGAGAATCAGATATTGCTTGATATAAGATCAGTAATAGACAGTGGACTTGTAGCTGAAATATTTAGTCAAAATAGTCCTGTTAGTTGTGAAAACTTTAATCTGGAAATGGCAGTAATTAAGAATCTGGTAGAAGAAGGATTGCTGTCTAGTCAAGACAATCATCTATGCACTGTAAATGTGGGAGAGACTTTGTTAGATCACTTCAAGTATCCACTTACCATTGAAAATCAAAATACAATAGTGAAAGTTGAAGTACATCCACATGGAAACAACAGCTGTGATGATGAAGATCTTGAAAAATACAAGGAATTAAATCTTCCAGAGGCAGCGGAACATATGCATTCACCTTATCTGACTTCAAATGGTGTCCACTTTCTTTCTTCTGTAGCAATGCAGCATAAAAATTGTAGTGTTCCAACTTCAAGCATTTTCTCTCCAGAGGGAACGGTCAATCAAAATGTCAGAATGATACCAGTAGGATTCATCGAAATGGGAATTTTTGTATATTGATGCATACTTGTGACTTCAGTGTGGGGAACTGCCACATTAAAACTTGCATGGGATCCACATAATGTTTAAAGTTATGTCATAAATTTTATACTAGATCGAACTTAGTAGTAAATACAGAAATTGGTTTTTATTGCCAGAAGTAGCATGCAGTGTGAACCTATGGCTCTGACTGCTGTTCTTTTTCTTGTCCATGTTATAAGCCATATATTTAAATGGCTGGGTAGTTATTTTACTCATTAAAAAAATCTTAACTATCACAAATATACCTAATTTGGTTTTATATGTTACTGTCTGTATTAGCAACTACTAGATAATTGTACAAAGTACAAATAGGATATCAGCTTTTGTTTTTTAGTTCCACTGGTGGCACACTTGTCATCTTAAAAAGTAATTTATTTGTAGCAGTGAACCATTGCCTGTATTTTTAAATCTCCATGGGGAAAGTAGTTTTGTAGAAGAGAGGGGTTTTCTGTTGCTTACCATGTTTGGCAGTTTTTCTGTATAGATTGAAGCTGCATTTTCTATGTTGGATCAATTGCTGTCTAGAAAGGTACACAGCATAAAACTTCTTGTCATGCTCATGGACCAAATCCATCTGCTTAATGCAGGTTATTCATATTGCAAATACTTAGGTGTCCTTGCATCTTTGTTTATGCCTGTAGAATATCATCTGAAGAAACCTCCAGATTTTAAGTTTGCACTGTGGCTGCTTCTAGAGGGGCACTGAGGTTTCCTCCGAGCAACTGTCTTGAAATAATTAAGCATACCAGCTGACATTTTTTTCCATGTAAATATTTTGACAAACAGTGCTGTTAGATTAAAAAATCAAAAGCATTAAACCCCACCCCCCCACCCCTCAAACTCACAAAAATCACTTCGTTGAAAATGAAGTCTGATTTTCCCCTGCAGTCCCCCACCAAGGTGCCAGGCTGAAGGCAGGTTGGCAGCTGCGGGGCTGTCTGCAGGAAACCACCTGTCACAGAAATGATTGCTGACACAACCAAGCCCAGTGTGTTTCCCAGCGACATTTCATCCTGAGATGCTTGAGGTCTACTGTGACAGTTACCTTATGTGTTTTGGGTTTTTTTTCTGATTTCATGTTACAGTCGTAGTTTAAAAGTATCTCTGGCTTGGGAGGTTGTTTACACACATACTTAATATTATCAGTAGTTATTTAATAATCGAAACTTTCAGTCTTTTGAACCATTAATAAGATTCAAAAGACTGGTGGAAGCCTCTAGAAAATAAATGTGATTAAGGCGTAACAGTTGCTTTCTTTGAAGTCAAGTTGAAAGGAATGAAAATTGGTTAGTCTCTGTACAAGGAGCTAAAATGTTTAGAAAAAATCTTGCTGGCCAGCTGTCTTCCTAGTATCCTTACAGCTTATCACACTAAATCTGCATGTTTCCTTAATTTGCCCTGTTTCTTAAAGGTATTAAAACAAAATTCTTATCAGGTTATAAATAATTCTGTTGAAATAAACAAAGCTGATTGGTTGTTGCTACACTGCTTACTTACCCTCTTAAACTGCTATCTACATTAAGAGGAAGCACAGCACACACAGAGAGCAAATTGTCTAATTCAAATATTCTCAATTCTGATTTGAAACTAGAAAATAGTTGGTTTCTGTCTTTGTTTCATTTTCTGTTCATTTGGTTTGTTTTTGAAAATACAAATTTAGTTATTAAGTATGATGCTATTATAGTTGTAAATGCATTAGATCTGAACCATAACTATATGTTGAGCAGAAAAAGCAGAAATAATATCCAAGCTATATAATGGTATCTGGTAATGCTGAACAGATGCAGCATTTATGTGCTTAATTATGTCATGAAAATGTAAATAACTTCCAATTTTCAAGATCACTTTAAGTGAATTTTTTTTTATTCATTTCATTTTAAAAAAATGAATCATTTAATGCATAAAACAGTTATAAAGAAAACATTCTTTTCTTCATGTGTTCAGATCATTCATACCTCCAGTTGCAGGTAAGAATAAATGTGTTTGTTATGATCAGTTTAAAGGAATCCAAAACAGTACTATGCAGTTACAAAATTGACCAATTGCTTAAATGGTAAGTACCACAAGTGATTGAGGGGGATTTATTTTGTTCTCTCCTCTTAGGCTTAGGGAAGGATTTACATAGCTAAATAAATAAATTTCTAGATTTTGCAAATTGAAGCATGAGACTTTACTTATTATGTCCATATAGCTAAGAATGTCTGAAAGGAGAGTGGACTACTGTTTTTTCGTGTAGGTTCATGTTGCTTCAACGGTGTAGTTCAGTCTTAGTTTTGATTTTCCCTTCCACTCGTACCACCTCCCTGTTCCTTCAGGGGACTGTGAAGAAGCTATTCCTTCTTGCAGTACAATTTTTTTTTTTTGACTGAGTTGAACAATGGTTTATTTCACCTTGAAGTTTGACCACTGATTATGAAAGTTAGGTGGTTTGCACTGATGCTGATGATGACAGTAGGCTCTGAGCGGTTGTTTAATGTGTTCTGGCCATAACCTGTTCACAATCCTGCTCAAAGTTAAACTGGCTGCTAGATTTGATCTTACAAGGTAGTTTATCCTGAAGCTAAATTAATTTTGCCGAATGCGCACAATAAACCTTTGAAAGACATCAAAAAGACCAAAGGTGAAGTCTATTTTCCCCAGCAAGTCTGTTACAAAAGAATATTAAATATTTCTTTCACAAGAATATAATGCTTTAGTTATGTCAAAATCTCTTTTATTGAAGCTGTAAAGGAGTTCTTGGCATAAAACACTGATCTTTTTTTAAACAAAATATGGTTTATTTTATGCACTAGAATCTACCAGTGATAGCTGTGGCTTACTTCAGGCTAGTGCTTCTGTCTATGACGAAATAGTAAGTATGCATGCAAGGTTTTGTTTTTATTGGAAGAATCTGTCCAACTGTTGGATGTCTGAAAAGGGCCTTATTCTAAGTGCCATAGGGTAAAAGGTTCTTTCAAACACTGTCCTATATAATCTGTTCACAAAAGAGAGGGAAAGAAAATGTTGCTCTTCAGATTTCCTGCACTGCTATGTTATGGAAGATGGAAGATTTTTCACCTGTTTCCATTCCTATTGGCTGAAGTCTAGTTCGCTCGTGTCTGCCACTTGCACATTTTGATTCCAGGACAGCTGGGGAGGGGGCTTCTCCTACAGCCACCTGAACACAAACTGCCTAGTGGGTCATCACCAAATACCCTTGGGCAGCTGATTAGTATTAGTGTTAGTATATAAGCAAAAATCATTCTGCCATCGACAAGTAAATTAACTATTCTCAGTATTACATTTGAATACAGTCCTTTCTTTAAAATACATTATTTTGGCAGATAAATTTTCAAATTTATTGTATTTGCTTGGAATTTAAAGTAGATTTTAAAGCATGCCTGTGAAGATTGAAAACTTTGTATTTCCGGCTGAGGTAACAGAGGCAGTTAGTGATGTTACTGAGAATCATCAAGAGAAAGCAATTTTTCAGAGTTCAAATGTTGACAAGTCTGGCTGCGAGTTATTAGCATTGCACAGCATGGTGGAGGAGTCCAGATGTTCACACAGAAATGATTCCAACTCTGTGGTAATTATATCCTGTAATTGACAGTAAGATTAAATGCTAGAGAAAATTGACTTATTTGTACCATGGTAGTATCAAGAAGTCCCACTTAGTAAATGTCGTATCAAGAATAAGGCAATCTCTTCCTTGGACTCACAGTCCAAATTTTGTCTTGTTACAGTGCTACTTTAGAGAGAGAGAGAGATATATAGCATATTATTTTATATTTAACAGCTGGAAACAAAAAAAAAGTGAATATTAATCTGAATGAAAAGTCTTGATTTAAAAATCACAGCTGAATAAATTAAATGAAACATGAACAATTACAATAGTGTGTTCTGGTTAGGGGACTGAATCTGAAGCCAGCACACTAGTAAATAGCTAGAATATGCTCTATGAAGCCCCATGGAGCAATTGAGAAAACCAAGAATCCATATCCCCTAGGTTGAGTTACAGTGTTAGATCTCAGTAGCTGCTTCCAAAAAAAAATTAAGGGTCAAAAAGCAAACGTTTTAATGCATAATGATCCATTTGTTTGGGAGATTCCAGTCTGTGATTATGCAGCTTTATGAGACACGTGGAACTCTTATGAAAACCTTTTATATCTATATGCTTAGAATTACAGTTTCTTAGATGAAAGCTAATCATTAGTTATTCATTCCAGGTTATCTGCCAGTTGGAAGGAGGTACTCAAATACTCTGCATAAACAGTTGTGGCGCACAAGAACTGAAACCAGTTCATCTAATTCCCGAGTGTCACAACCAACATAACTATCTTCAGTCAGGTATAATAAAAATGAAAATTAGCCTGTCAGATATTATACCATAGATGGTTAATATGCAACTGCATGTTTTTATGTTCTTAAGATAATGTAGCTGTTCACCAGTTATTATTTCACTTTATTTTATAACTGAAAAATTGCTAGGCACTTCAGTGTAATAAGAATGATGTAATGGATATGTTGAATTTATTGAAAGTTTGTAATATACAGATTACTTTCCATATAAAGCACATTTAGCATAAGCACCTGCATACATTTGTATTTACCCTAGCTTGCCACCAAGTGTCACTGTTTCTCTATTAATGAAGAGCGGGCTATGGGTGTACTTCAGCCTTGGGATTCAGAATGTCTCACCAATATTTACATAATTAGGTGGTCTTGAAATGCCTTCAGGTTTTAAAGAAAGCAGTTTCTGAGGTCCTCAAATTAATGCTATTTAGATGGAGTAACACATTTTCATCTGAGCAGCAAGAAAGTATTGGAGTGTGGTTTAGTTTTAATTTAAATATTTCTTTACCTAATTATAGCTTCCTCAAAAAAATTATTATTATGGTTTATTTCATTATTTATTACTATAATTTTATTACAGTGGTGCATTTTGATGGCAGTGTGAAAACAAAGCTTGTTAATATTAGGCACCATACAAGCACAGATATTACTCTCAATATCAGCAGGTGCTGACCATGAGCACCTCTCAGCAGATGCTCCAAGCGTGGAGCCTGTTAACTTATACTTGTCAGAAACCATCGAAAGAGTAAATCCAGACACATTCAAATTTAATCACAGAATCACAGAATGTTCGGGGTTGGAAGGGACTGTGGAGGATGAACCATTAAAGGACTGCAGACGTGAGCAATCCAGCATTTTCTCTATGAGGCCATGAAACCTTAGCATAAGGCCGCAGAGCCTTAGCATAAGGCCGCAAGGGCATCTAGAGGACAAACGGTGGTATAAACAAGGAAATGAATGCAAAGAAAATCAGTCCACGATACTGAAGCGGAACTTGCCACCTCCAAGAAGGCCACGAGCACAGCGCGTGAACAAGTAATGCACACCAATCATAATCGGGTTTCTATGTGATTTAATTTTATTATTGCCAATGGGAGATCGCCGCGTATGTAATGGGGAATATAAATGTGAGCTCAGAAGGGACCTCTGTGGGTCATCTGGTCCAACCTCCCTGCCAAACCAGTGTCACCTAGAGCAGGTTGCACAGGACATCATCCAGGTGGATTTTGAATATCTCCAGAGAAGGAGACTCCACAACCCGTCTGGGTAACCTGTTCCAGTGCTCTGTCACCCTCAAAGTAAACAAGTTCTTCCTCATGTTCAGATGGAACATGTTATGCTTCAGTTCGTCCCTGTTGGTTCTTGTCCTGTTACTGGGAAAAGAGTCTGTCTACTGAAAAGAGTTTGGCCCCATCCTCCTGACACCCACTCTCAAGATATTTATAGGCATTTATAACATCCCCTCTCAGCCTTCTCTTCTTCAGGCTAAGCGAGCCCAGCTCCCTCAGCCTGTCCTCATAGGAGAGATGCTCCAGTCCCCTCATCATCTTCACAGAACTCTGCTGGACTCTCTCCAGCAGTTCCTCCTCTTTCGTGAACTGGGGGAGCCCAGAACTGGACAGTACTCCAGATGGGGCCTCACTAGGGCAGAGTAGAGGGGAAGTAGAACCTCCCTTGACCTACTGGCCACACTTTTTTAATGCATCCCAGGATACCATTGGCCTTCTTGGAAACCAGGGCACACTGCTAGCTCATGGTTAACTTGTCGTCCACCAGGACACCCAGGTCCCTCTCCACAGAGCTGCTCTCCAGCAGGTCCGCCCCTGTCCAGGTCTTGCTGAATGGTAGCACAGCCTGCTAGTGTATCCACCACTCCTCCCAGTTTTGTATCATCAGCAAACTTGCTGAGAGTACACTCTAACTCTTCATCCAGGTCATTGATGAAGAAGTTAAACAAGGCTGGGCCAAGTACTGACCCCCAGGGGACACCACTAGGTACAGGCTTCCAACTAGACTCAGCACCACTGATGACAACCTCAGCCAGTTCTCAATGCACCCCACTGTCCACTCATCCAGTCCACACTTCCTGAGCTTCCCTAGGAGGATATTATGGGAGACTGTGTCAAAAGCCTTGCTGAAGTCAAGGTAGACAACATCCACTGCTCTCCCCTCATCTACCCAGCCAGTCAAGCCATCGTAGAAAGCTATCAGATTGGTCAAGCATGTTTTCCCCTTGGTGAATCCATGCTGACTATTTCTGATAACCTTCTTTTCCTCCCCTTGCTTAATGATGACCTCCAGAATGAGCTGCTCCATCATCTTTCCCAGAATGGAGGTGAGGCTGATCGGCCTGTAGTTCCCTGAGTCCTCCTTCTTGCCCTTTTTGAAGATTGGAGTGATACGGGCCTTTCTCAGTCCTCGGGCACCTCTCCTGTCCTCGAGGACCTTTCAAAGATGATAAAGAGTGGCTCAGCAATGACATCTGCCAGCTCCCTCAGCACTTGTGGGTGCAGTCCATCGGGGCCCATGGAGGTGGGTGTCCAGCTTGCTTAAGTGATCTCTCCTACAGTCCTCCTCAGCCAAGGGAAGGTCATCCTTTCTGCAGGCTTCCTCTCTTACCTCCAGGGCCTGGGATTACTGGAGGCCAGCCTTAGCACTAAAGACTGAAGCAAGGAAGGCATTCAGCAACTCTGCCTTCTCTGCATCCTTCATCACCAGAACACCTGCCTCATTCAGCAGTTGCCCCACATTGTCCCTAGCCTTCCTTTTACTGCTGATGTACTTGAAGAATCCCTTCTTGTTGTTTTTGACATCCCTTGCCAGATTCAATTCCAGGTGGACCTTAGCCTTCCTCATTGCATCCCTGAGTGCTCTGACAACATTCTTGTGTTCCTCCAAGTGGCCTGTCCCTCTTTCCACATTTCATATACCTTTCTCTTCCACCTGAGCTCCGCTAGAAGCTCCTTGCTCATTCATGTGCGTCTCCTGCCTCCTTTGTTTGATTTCTTGCTCAGGGGGATGCACCGATTCTGAGTATGGAGGAAGTGATGTTTAAACAGCAACCAGCACTCTTGGACCCCGCTGCCTTCAAGAGCCCTGGCCCACGGGATTCCTCCCAGTAGCTCCTTGAAGAGGCCAAAGTTGGCCCTCTTGAAGTCCAATGTTTTGATCCTACTTATTGCCCTGCTTCCTCCACGCAGGATCCTGAACTCGACTATTTCGTGATCACTACAGCCAAGTCTACCTCCAACCTTCACATCCTCAACCAGTCCCTCCGTGTTTGTTAGTACAAGGTCCAGCAGAGCGCCTCTCCTTGTTGGTTCTTCCACCACTTGCATCAGAAAGTTATCATCTATGCTCTGCAGGAACGTCCTGGATTGCGCCTGCCAGCTCTGTGGTCTTCCCAGCTGATGTCAGGGTGGTTGAAGTCCCCCATGAGAACCAGGGCCTATGACTGTGAGGCAACTTGCAGCTGCTTGTGGAAGGCCTCATCAACGTCCTCCTCCTGGTCAGGTGGCCTGTAGTACACACCCACGATAACATCACCCATATAGGTTGTCCCTTAATTCTAACCCATAACCTCTCAACTCCATCTTCCCCCACGCAGAGCTCAATGCATTCCAGTTGCTCCTTCAGATACAGAGCAACTCCACCACCTCTCCTTGTTGGCCTGTCTTTCCTAAAGAGCGTGCAGTCATCCATGACAGCATGCCAGTCATGTGAGTTGTCCCACCACGTTTCTGTGATGGTGACCAAGTCGTAGCCGTCCTGCTGTATAATGGCTTCCTCCTGTTTATTGCCCATGCTACGTGCGTTGGTATAGATGCACTTGAGCTGGGCTGTCAATCTTGCCCCTGACCCTGGCATGCCAAACCTGGGCTCATCCCTAGTGAGGTGGGCTATGACCACTTCCCCCTTCAAACCTAGTTTAAAGCCCTCTGAGTGAGCCCCGCCAGCTCGTGGCCAAGAATCCTTTTTCCCCTTTGAGATAGCTGGACTCCATCTGTTGCCAGCAGGCCTGGTGCTTTGTACACCTTCCCATGATCAAAGAAACCAAAATTTGACCAATTGAAAGGTCATGTTCCTTTATAAAATTCAAACTCTCATTCATTTGCTGGGAATTTTCTTGTCAGGGAAGAAAAGCTGAAGAGCAATGCACTGGCGTATGTTTTTTGGTTTTTACTTTCTTGAGCTTTCTTCTGTTTTACTCATCTTCACAGCAAGAAAAAGATTTAGGTCCAGAAATTATATCTAACAGTTTATAGGGACTAATCTCTTCAAGTTTTGAGTTGAGGTGTCCTTTGGCTTCTTCTTTCTTTCTTTAAATGGGAAGGAAGTGCAGGTATAAGATTCATTTTGTAATCTTACTATGACTTACGTTTGCTTTTTTCTGTATAAGCTAGGATGCTCGTGTACTTACATGCAGTTCTTCACCAGAGCTTATGCAAGGACTTACTCTTACAGCTATGGTTTTCTCCATGGCTTTTTAGTAATCTTTTTTGTAAGCTGAAGACCTCTGTTCCATATGCTTTTTCAGAACTCTGGAAATTTGTAAAATAAGAACTCAGTATAAATATATTCAATTGTTTCTAACATTTTTCATATTTTATCAAAACATTTCAGTCTATGGCATTTGAATTTAAATGTACTTGATGTCATATGATCAAATTCCTAGCTGACAAATTGGTGGTGGGTTCTTCTGTCAGGGGTATTATTGTGTTTTTATTCTTGTTTTTTTTGCAATGAGGAAAACATTTCTGGAGACAAAACTTCTATGTCCTTTAATGACACTATTTATTGTAGAGTAAGTTTGGATTTAAAACTAAATTGTAGGAGAATGTGCTAACAGAGGACAGACAACCTCAGTTAATTTTTTTTATTAACAAAAGAACATAAAGATACTGATTTGCTTATGTGCTTGATTGAAAAAATATTTATGCACAGATTTATACGCTGTATTTCTGCTGTCTTCAAGTAAATATCTTCTTTTCACATGTGGACAACACTTTAACAGCCGTACTGAGGCAGTTTTTGCCTGTTCCAGGTGAACTGGTTCTGAATGAACAAGAGGTAAAGAAACTTTATGTTTTAAACTTGTGAAGTACAATATACACTCTTTTTCCTTTTCTTAAAATGAGTTGTTAAGTCTATGCTGGGAAGTAACAAGTGTATGCATTTTCTAAAGGTAGTTTAGCTAGTTTGGGCAGATTAGTTCTGCACTCAGTATACTTTCCGTATATAAAGGTTTCTGATTTCAACATTTTCTACAAGTAATGCCAGAGTTAAAAATATAGTTTTCTATAAGAAAAATAAATTTATTCCAGTTTTGAAACCTTGACTTTGGTATTATATAGATTATGTCATTCCAGAGAATCATTTTAAGACTCTTTTGGGATGAAGGAAAGCACATTGACTTGTACCAGAAGAAGGGGAATATTTTCTTCCAGTAGGAAGAAAAATCTTTCTTTACACTCTTTTCTCTTTTTTAGGATTTAACAGTCATTAAGTCTTTTTAATTTTTGTTGATTATTTTTTTGTTGATTAAAACTCGACAGAAGACTGAAAATCTTTGCAGATGTTTGGCTTCTCATAGTTACTTCCAGCAGAGCTGGTAGCAAAAATCACTGCAAATTTTTAATTATTAATTTTTGATTTGTGTAAAGTGAGTATGTGATGTCAGTACAAACACAGCAAATGGTTTGTGGATAGCAGCCACTATCATAAAAGAGGGAAGGAAAAACCCAAGGGTCAGATCGAACAATGACCTGGGGAGTCTTTCATCTCTAAAGGCAGTATATCTGCAAATTGGTGCCTACATATTCTGGAGCAGTGATGTAGACTGGCTTGTAGTTCTTCTCTAACCTTTTCCTAAATTAGTTGTTTCCTAGATTTCTTCTCTTTCTTTAAATATAGTAATTTTCCTTTTCTTCATGGTAAACTAGATTAATCACCTATTGAAGTAACAGTGATTTACAATTATTGACTGTCCCTCTATTACGAGTAATATCAGTATAACCCTAATTGTTCTTCCCTTGTCTCTCTCCATAACCAGGCCCTTATTAATCTTATGTCTGAAGAACTAAAAGCAACTGAATCTAGAATTGTCAGTAAACTGAAAATAGTGTACCAACACTGCAGTGTTGAAAGCTACTCTTGGTTCTTTGCATTGGGAGGAATGGGATTACTGACATAGAATCATATAGAATCGTAAAATCATAGGTTGGAAAAGCCCTCTAAGATCAAGTCCAACCATCCTCCCAACAACACCATGCCCAGTAAACCATATCCCAAAGTGCCATATCTACATGTTTTTTAAACACCTCCAGGGATGGTGACTCAACCCCCTCCCTGGGCAGCCTACTCCAATATGAGCCCCAGTTCCTTCAGTCGCTCCTCATAAGACTTGTTCTGTAGACCCCTCACCAGCCTCACTGCCCTTCTCTGGACACGCTCCAGCAACTCAATATCTTTCGTGTAGTGAGGAGCCCAAAACTGAACACATTACTCGAGGTCTGGTTTCACAGGTGCCAAGTACAGGGGCATGATCACCTCGCTACTCCTGCTGGCCACACTATTCCTGATACAAGCCAGGATGCCGCTGGCCTTCCTGGCCACTTGGGCACACTGCTGGCTCATGTTCAGCTGGCTGTCAGCCAGCACCCCCAGGTCCTTTTCTGCCGGGCAGCTTTCCAGCCACTCCTCCCCAAGCCTGTAGTGTTGCATGGGGTTGTTGTGACCAAAGTGCAGGACCCAGCATTTGGCCTTATTGAAACCCATACAGTTGGCCTCAGCCCATCAATCCAGTGTGTCCAGATCCCTCTGCAGAGCCTTCCTACCCTCGAGCAGATCAACACTCTCACCCAACTTGGTGTCATCTGCAAACTTATTGAGGGAGCACTCAATCCCCTCATCCAGATCATTGATAAAGATGTTACACAAGACCAGACCCAAAACTGAGCCCTGGGGAACACCACTCGTGATCAGCTGCCAGCTGGATTTAACTCCATTCACCACCACTCTCTGTGCTCAGCTGTTCAGCCAGTTCTTTATCCAGCGAAGAGTACACCCACCCAAACCATGGGCAGCTAGTTTCTCCAGGAGGATGCTGTGGGGAACAGTGTCAAAGGCCTGAATGCTGTTTTCATTACTCTTTACTTCCATGAGTTTTTATCAGTAATCTTGGCAATCAGATTATCCCTGAAGAATTTTCCTTGTGTTACTTCTTCTCTGTTAATTTACAAGAGTATTTTTTAAAGAAATTAACATGAACAGGATATATGCATTTTATCTTGAGCAGTTTGAAAATGGACCCTTAGAGCCAGTAGCTAGCACTGCCACATTCCATCTAGAATCAAATCTGCGTGGGCCAGTGAAAATTACCTCAGAGGGGTAAGATGTGTGAAACATCTGATATCCATGAGGACTTCTGAATTTTAAACTGGCAGTGACTCTCAGACATTTTCATGTTGCATAGCTGCTTCTCTCTTGTAACAAAATTGCAGTTCTGTAAGAATGCTTTGTGTATCTGTCTTGGGAGTCATGATGACAGTTGCTGGTAGTCAAGACTACATAGCATGGTTTCAGGTTTTCTTATGATCAGCGCAAGTGTGCTGTCCATTTGCCTAAAAAACATTTAGTTTTCTAAGTTAATTGATATGTTTCCAAATGCATTTAGCATGTGTTTAGCCTGGAAATAGCAATGCATATCCAGTGGTCTGACTTTATTAATTTTTTGTGTAACCATTATCATAATTATCTAAGAAATAGTGACTAAAATGACAGATGGCTTATATAGAAGGAATCACTTCACATAGCATTTGACATCTTTTTTGTCTGAATAAAAAAGTATCTAAAGGAGAGGCTGTACCTATCCTTTAAGAATATAGTATACAGATTTCAGGGATATATATTTTAGTTCTGCTTACAAAACAGCAGTTATTTATGTATTGATCACATATTTCATTCTCTCAACTTTTTTCCTCCCTTAGCTACTTTATGTTTTTCCTGCAGTTTCTCTGTTCTTAAATTTTTCTATGTTTAAGCATTAATTTCTAGCAAAACCTTGACCAAATAAGTACTAAGAAAATTATGTTATTAATATGTTTGTGATGTTCAATTAATAAGCATGTTTTGATCACTACTTCTTTCCTATCTCTTCTTCCTTTGGTCCATCTCCTGTCAATTTTATTTGTGTTGGCAATTCGGATTGTAAAATATTCTAAGGCAGCTGATATATCCTCATGTAATACTTTCTAACATAGTTGTAGCCTAATCTCTATTTTTGGTTGGTTTATAATTATCTGCCTAATAAATAGAAACACCTGTTAATAATAATCAAAATGAATTAAACCACGTCTTAATTGATTTTAGGGAGCTTTACTCCAGGGTCTAAAATTTTCAGTTCGGATAGATCATTTTTTTGCTTCTTTGCATCAATCACAACATTAAAATTCTTGTCTTAATTCCATTTTAAAAATATTATAATAATTTCTGCTGTTTGTAGTATATTAATGGGGTAGATGGTGCCGAGTTATGCCTTTTCTTCAATCGCCAAGTAGGATGAGTTATTAATATAGTAGAATGAGTTATGTTAATGACTGGTAGTTTCAAGAGTTTATTCAAAGCAAGGCTGCTAAGGTGCCATACAGGGAATCCCTGAGAGGCTTGGTGCTCTTTCCTTTAACAGCAGTAGACTGAATTTACATTTAGTACCTCCTAGACCCTGACTAGGCCTTTTAAACACATTTCCTTGTACATGAGGCAGGATGTCACTACTGAATGCAGATGGAGGAAGAGGCTTCTTGCATAACCGTTCTGTGTCTGCACCTGTTGGGCAGAATTTGTATATGTTAATTGTGTAGTGTGAACACAGTCTTCAATATGATCAATTAGAAAAACTGAGCAGCAATCTGTTAGAAGCAGAAACTATTCAGCGTAGAACAGTGAAATTGCTACAAGAATATCCCAGATACAGTAACATTGTAACAGAGTAACTAGTCTGATTCAGCTCTATGCATTCCAACTCATAACTGGGTTTTGCAGTTTGTCTTTTAAATTATTTAGTGGATTTAAAATGGAGATATTTTATACTAGTTTCTTTTCCCCTGTCAGGCAACCAGCTGTATGTATATCTTGGGAAGAAGTGAAAGCAGTATGTGCTTGTCTCCTGGTGCAAGCTGAAGAGGCAGAAAAAAGAGGTTACTCTGTCTGTCTAGCTGAGCGGATGATCATGGAGGAATTTGGGAAATGTTTATCCCAGATCCTACGTGCATAATTAAAATCTAAAAGACTGAAAGTTGGATAATGTTCAATGTGTTATAAAGCCAAAAAGTATTAATATTGATATGTTGCCATACTCTCCACTATTTTGCTACTTAATGATATTACTTTGGTCTTTAATAGGAATAATTTCATAGGCTTCAGCTGAATTCTGTCTGAATTATGCTAGTGTAAGTGAAACCAGCACCATAACTAGCATTTTTTTTTTACTAGCTTAATACTGTAGAAAGCTTCTTATATTTTCTACTAAAACAGATTTTCTCTGTAGTTAGGGCTTTCTGAGCTGATTCTTCAGTCTTTACCTAGGCCCTTGTTAGAAGTAAATTTAACTTAAAAAGACTTCATTGGATGTTTGCGTGAGTGAAGGTGCAGTAAAAAGTGAGTAAGAATTTGCTATCTCAGTTTGATTATTTTATGAATTGTGAAACAATACCATTTCCAGTGGTAGCAGGCAAAACTACTAAGTTTAGCTTTGGGTCTTCTCTGTTTTGGCAATTTATTTCTGCTGTCTGCAGATGTACTATTTTTGGAAAACAGAGCAATGTTGTCAGTAGGTTTGGTATTTACTGTTGGAAAAAAACCCACACCAGACTTTGTTCAACATTAGATTTGTTAGAGATGAGCCTCATAAAGAAAAGGAGGAAGATGACCTCATTTTTACTCCTACTGTAAAGTACAAAAGTTTGTGAAGGGAAAATCTTTTATGTACATAGCATTTGGGATTGAAATTTGCTGAATCCTACATTTTCAATTCAGTTTCCCTTAAAGCTTGGAATAGCTTTTGTTTAGTTAATAATTTTTCGTATGTGGACATTTTCTCTGTGACATTTCTTCCTCTTGTCATTCTCCCTGTTGGGATAATAGTAGGTTTTATTTTCTCTAACAAGAGTAAGCTATTTGCTGCCGTCTTTCTGGAAAAGAAAATAAAATTTAGAATTGTTATATAAATGGACTGACAAATTATATAAAAATTAGTAGTCTTTGGTTTTAGACATTTTATGCTAAGTTAATAATATGTGCTTAGATATTTTTTGCATTTATGCTTAAAAGAATAAATATATTCTCCATGTCATGTCGATTCATGAAAATTGTTGCCAGGGCAGCAGGTGACACTGCATGCTATTTTAAAATTTTGTTTAATAAGAGGGCGGGCTTTTTTGTTAGTGGCAGTTAATGTGTGAACGGATTGCATTTTGTGTCTTTGGTTTTAACAACTGCTGCTGGAGATTGCTGAGGGTCACAGGAGAAAATGGATTTTCAAAGTGCTCCGTAAGTGATATGGCACCACCTGTATGCTTCACCCCTTCCTGGGCACTTTGATTCCTAAGATGATCTCTCTTGGTTTTGGAATTAACACCTAAAGAATATTTCTCATACCTAGAGAAAGGCATCATCTTAAAAATTGTTTGTCTCCAGATAGAGTTACTATGAGGTCATAAATTAGAAGAGCACACAAGGACTGTAAAGTCAATAGACACTCCATAAGGGAGCAAAGCATGAGGAAGAAACCACCCTGTATTGCTAAATCATGCCTTGAAATAAAACCTCGGAAATCAACTCACCAAAATTCCCAGTGGAAAGTAAGGATTAAAAATAGCTTTTAGGAATAGAAATGCAAAATAAAATTAAAAATTATTGGGAGGAGTAGATAAAGATAAACACAATGTGAGAGGAAGTGTTAGAGTCCTTGAAAAACTGAATTGAGTGTAGTACAATCTCGTCTTCAGATGCATCTTAACTGAATACACACAGCAGGAGAAAATGTCATCGTATAAAATGGCAAGTTATTAAGCCCAAAAGAGACATGAGCTCAAATGATGAGGAAAAAAAGACTAGGAAGAAAAATCATAAGATTTTGACTAGTGAAGAGGTTGGAAAATAATAAAGAGGAAAAAATCACAGGAAAATTTTAGAAGAAATAATAGAATTAAAATGGAATTAGAGTAGGAAAGATAAGAAAATTCTGCCACCGAAAGTAAAGGGTAGGAGTGCAGGGGAGAGATAGAAATAGCGTAGTAAGGGAAATGAATGAAGAAGACATGAGTTACAGCTTTGAGCAACATCCCTAGGCTCTCATCTCTGATAAAACATTACATATGTAATGCTGAGACTTTCACCCAGGATGCCAGCTAAGAAGGCTTGAGGGAAGGTTTCTGCATTTTCTGCATATATTCTGAAGTCACCATATAAATGAAATGGGCATAAACAAAATTAATATCAATTTCATAATGAAAACCACAAGGCACTAGAATGTGTAAGAGTTTACACTGAAGCAACAAAAAAACCCAACTGCTAGATGTAAAAAGCTGAAATTCCCTTTTTCATTATAGAGAGGTAAAACCAGTTTGATTTACAGGTTTTTTTTATTACAGGTGATATAAACTCAGTCTGTAAAAACACTCCCAGATTCTGTGGTGACTAGGATTGTAATTATATTCTGGAAAAAAAAAAAATAAATCAGTTGATAGTAATACATAATGTAAAAGCAATTTCTGCAACTGTCAACAAACTGCAAAACTCTGTTAAAGAGGGTTATATATTTAATAAAGAAAGCTAAAACTAGCTTTGTGCTCTTACAAATAATGCGTTTTGCAGTCAGTAATGAAATTATTTGAGAACAATGTTGACACAGCCACAGATTTCTTCCCGAAGGAGTCATGTAGGAAATATGTATCAGTTTTCTTAACTAAGTGTAGCCCTTTGTTACTAAAGAAAGGTTTGGTTTCATAACAAAGTTGAAAACTTTGGGGAAACAGGCGCCAAAAATCAGTCCTGAGTAGGTCAAGGGCTTGACAGCTGTACAGAAAAGATTAAGAAAGACTTTAACTGAATAGAATCAGAACATGTGGGTACCTATATTAGGGGGAAAATAGCTTTTCAAATAAGTTGAAAATTTGCCTTTCTGTTTCTTGCAAGGATCTTGGAAATGAAATACTAGTGAATGGAAGTTCTTCGTATGGCTTTATGCAAACACAAAGAACTAAGCAGAATTGCCTTCAATTACTGCTGCTTCGACCAGCAAAAGAAACCCTGGCCCCAGCAAATAAATTAAAAAAAAGGAAAAGGATAGCTAAGAGATGAAGCATGAATAGCTCTCTTTATAGCAGCTATTGTGCTGTGCTTGGTAATGGATCTTCTTTTCTTTTTACAGTATTTTAAAATTTGTTCAATTTCTGAATATGAAATTATGTATCAGATATATATGATATTCGTCTTTCTGAGGAAACAAGCAGGAATTAAAAATCAAGCAAGCCCATGGATTCATAACTCCATGAACTACTAACATTTTAACCTTGCAGATAAAACACAAAGACCCTTTTGAAACTGGCAATGTGTCAGTCTCATCTGAAAATAACAAGAAATATTAATCTTTTAAAAATAGGTAAATACAGAGATTATTTTGATGGGTAGGATTGCAAAGTTACTTAAACCAAACATCTTTTTTCTATTTCATTTACCTACAGGTATATCAGACAGTACTCTAAAAGCTTGGTAAACTGTTGTTAAAATTTTCAGTGCAGAGACCAGGGGTCAGCACATAAATATTATTTCAGAGAGGTCTCTGAAATTCAGAAGTGCAGACACTTCTAAGAGGTCTCTCTTGGCTCATAATAATGCAGTTCAGCTGAAGGATGTTGTAATGTGGTATGTGAGGTCTTATTCAGAGGTATGGATTGGTACAGAATAAAAGTTACGTGGGCAACAGAATTTCTCATATATTATGTATTTATATATATATCAGATGAGAGAAGTGAAACACAATACAATCCACTCCATGAGATCTTTACGTAAAAACTGGAAGTTGCTGTCTGATGCCTTCCCTATTAGTTAGGTTTGGACTTTGTCCCTTTTTGATTAGGGCAAGTGTCATCGAATTTAGTCAACTGTTCTTAAGGATCATAGGGATTAAATGTTTCCATTTCAATCTACAGATTAAGAAAATTGTAACACATTGTAACACAGGAGACCCCTTCTCCTTTTAGACTACTCAGTCCATTTGAGAAGCTGACATAAATGGACAGAAGAACAGGATAAATTAGACCCTCTGCAAGAAGAGGAACATGAAAGCAAATGGAGGTATGAGAGACTGACTTTGGAAAGAATCTCAGCTGGAGGAAAGTAGCAAGGTGTAAGAAATAGCTTCTAATTCTATATTTTTGTTGCATCAGTTTGAGGCAAGGGGAGGAAAAAAGAAAAATGTGAATTATATGGTAAATCAGTAGGTGACTCTAAGCTACCAGTATTAATTCATTTTATACAGCTATGAAAAAGCTTAATACTGTTCTAGGGAATACTGGATAAGATATTTTTAGTAGATAGATGAAAATGTGTTTGTATTATTTTATAATATGCCACTAAATCTTCACTTGGAATACTGTGTACAGTTTTGGTCATCTGTGCTCAAGAAAGATAAACTTAATTCTGAACAGATGCATTTCTCGGAAAGGCTCTTGCGATGAATGAGAGAATGGAATATCTGTCTTTAAGTGGAGAGAACAAAGGAGTTTGATTTAGTCTAGGCAAATAAAGGCTGAGAGGAGATATGATTCCTCTTCATAAATAAATTCAGGGGATAAATATAGATGAGGAATAGAAGCTGCTAAAGGATACATATCACTTAAATTTGGAATGCAAAGTAAGTTTTCCTAACCATTCAAAGGGTAAGGTTCTGAAATAGTCATCCAGATAGGATGATGTGAGCTAGGAACCTAAACTATTTAAAAATGGAACTTGAAAAATTGCATAATTAAAACAGATTTCCTGGAGACAATAAACTATGTCTGTGGTACAAGGCTTTGGGTGTCTATATATTGGCATATTCAAGGGATTTTGAAAGGAGATAGAGTAGATTATGCTATATTTCCCTTGCATGAATCTCATACTTCAAGGCTAATCAACTATGGCACGCAGAAAAATATTTTTTCTCCTTGATAGGTCGTTGTTAGAGTCCCACAGAATCACAGAATGTTAGGGGTTGGAAGGGACCTCTGTGGG